AATTGCTCCAGCCAGTGCATTAGCCCAGGCCATGGTCATCATCCGGAATACACTTAGATTACCAACTGGTGGGGTATATAAATCCTGGAATTGTAAAATTTATTAGCTGCATTTCATCAAGTTGAGAATAGGTGAGTTTACAAAGCATCACCTGCGTGCGAACCGCCAGCCCTACTCAAAGTGGGGAGCTTGGGGGTGGGGGAGTGACCTCTTCGCTTCCTTGTGCACCCCAGCTCCTGAGGCCCCGCACCCGAGGGGTGTCAGCCGGAGGTAGGTTTCTGGAGGCCGGTAGGGCGAGAAAGGATGAACGCCCTCTTTTCATCCGCCTTCGGAGAGTTCCCTCCATCACTGTGGAGGCCGGTGTTAGTTTGGAAGCATCGGAATAACGACTTTCGTGATTGGCGAAACCAGGGTCGACTGCCCTGATTTAGTCCACAATCGATTATTTCTAACTAAATTCACCCGAGAAGCAGGAAGAGCTGTCTGAATCTCCGTCCCCATAAAAGTAAGAAATACATCTCCAGGGTAGGTGCCCTCCCAGCCGTATCACACGTTATAAAACCCAGGATTGAAAAGCTTGGATAGCCCTGGCCAGTGTGGCTCAGTTGGCTGAGCATCGTTCCATGTAGTGAAAGGTCGCCAGTTTGACGCCCATGGTCGCCAGTTTGACTCCCAGTCAGGGCACGTGCCCAGGTCCATCCCTGTGGATGTTTCTCTCTCCCCCTCCAATCAATTAAAAAATATATGTATATATTTTTTAAAGGGTGTGTAAACAAACCTTGTAAACCCTTTACTAATTTACTGCCAAAGCCCAAACTTTTGTTTAGATTCCTCACCAGCAAATACCACCCCTTGCTTTAGATTCCTTGCCAATGAACACTTTTTTTTTGTCCTGTCAATTACTCATGTTTCTTTGTCAGAAAAAGTATAAAACATTATAATGGACATAAGGCACTGGGGGGTAGGGGAAGCTGGGGGATTGTTAAGGGCGGGGATAAAAAGGAGACATACGTAATACTTTTTGTAATACTTTAAGCAATAAAACAATTTTTAAAAAAAGTATAAAAGGGTGCCCAGTTCAATGTCTTTGAACCTTATTTTATGTTCTGAGCATCATATTGTCATTCTCCTGTGCACACGTATTGTTTTTTTTTCCCTGTTGAGCTAATGTTGTGTCAACTTTATTATTTTATAAGTAGTCCAACCAGAAGAACTAAAGAACGGTCGAGTGAAGGAATTCCCCCACTCCCAACATGATCTACAGAGGAAGCATAAAGATAGGGTAGAGCCCTGGTCGGCGTGGCTCAGTGGCTAGAGCATCAGCCTGCGTACGGAAGGGTTTTGGGTTTGATTGCTCATCAAGGGCACCGTACCTGGGTGGCAGGTCCAATCCCGGATCCAGTCGGGCACATGTGGGAGGCAACCAATTGATGTGTCTCTCTCTTTCCCCATCCCTCCCTCCTTTCCACTCTCTCTGAAAAGCAATAAAAAAAAATCTTTGGGTGAGGATTAAACAAACTAATAAAAGACAGGGTAGAGACGGAGACACAAAAGCGTTTTCCTCCCAACCTGTCCAGACTGGGGTATTGTTTTACAATATCTGGAACTACCAACTGGACAACAGAGTAGTAAGTGGGCTTTGAGTTGGTGTGATGATAGGCCACAGCCCGTGCCCATCTGCAGACCGAGAGCTACACAAGCAGAGGAGTGACGGTCCAGGTCACAGGCACTGGGCCCAGCACACTGAAGGGGGCTGGGAATCAACCACACTCCAATTCCAATTCCTTTTGGAAGGCTTTTTTCCTGATGAAAAAGTTGTATAGGGGAAAATGGGCAAGTTCTTCCAGTAAAATGCCGTATAATACATGTAAAAGGAACAACAGAGTTACAAAGGTCACCATTTTGCAACTATCATAGTAATAGTGTCACTAACAATCAGTGAATATTAAAATCACTGGATGAAAGTATGATGGCTAAAGGGTTACTACACAGTCACTGAATAGGTCCCCATAGATTGCTTATTAATCACAAAGGGAAAAATGGTAACTTAAGAGTTAAACATTGCCAGTGATGAGACATTTGTCATTGTGTACCTCATGAGATGATTCAGTAAGAAGTGTACAACTAGCCCTGCTGGTGTAGCTCAATGGTTGAACATAAACCTGTAAAACAGGAAGTCATAGTTCAATTCCCTGTCTGGGTAAATCTTGGGTTGT